TTCTTTTGGGAGGGCTTATAGTGCTCAAGCAGAAATGCACTGGGAGCAGAGAAGATGGCTGGTCTGGAGAAGGACCCTGGCATCCTCCTCATCCTGGCAGGAGAGGGGCTGTCAGCTCTCGTCGTGTAAAGGACTGGGGAGGTGTTTGGACACACTGAAGCGTCTCACAGTTCCCATCAGCAGGATTTGCCTTTCCAGCCTCTGGAAATGGCAGAGAAATTACTGCAGGGCAGAGGATCTCCCCCAAGGTACCCGCTGGCCACGGCCACCTCAGCCACGTGTGTGGGCGCATCTGTGGTGTTATCAGTGCCACGGGCTCGCAGGCCAGTGAGGACACGGCAGGGTGCAGCCACATGAGCATAACCATACCCTCATCCCAGCAGGACCCGGAGAGCCCACCCAGCCACTGCCAGGGATCATTGGCACCTCTGTGCTGGTAGGATTGGGGTCAGCTCAGCCCCATCCCGCAGAGCCCAGGGGCTCAAGCCCTCAACCACTGTAATCTTTTTCTAAAAGATTGCTAAGGAGGGGGGGGGGATTGAAAACCGAGTCTAAAAATAACTCCTAAAACTTCCTGTGCTGCTGGCAGGTGGCTGGGACAGGCTGCGGGGGCGGGAGGCAGCTGTGGGGCTCCTCGGCTGTTACCATGGGGTAACCCCGGCACAGGGGTCCCGGGGGGTGCCAGCCCCCTGTCACCCACCCCAGCTGCCTGCTGGGCTGCCTCGCCCCTGGTTGCACTCAGTGGCTGGTTCTAGCCAAATTTGGCTGAGATCAGAGGTGCTGGGACCTCCTGGGAGAATGCCAGGGAGGGGGTGGGGAAGCTGCAGGCTGTGCTGAGCCCTTATTAGACACTGGAGAATCCAGCAGCACACGGGCAGCCAGGCTCTCCTTGTGCTGATCCAGCGTGGCTGGTCTAGCAGGTGATGGGTGTTCGCGGCTCCTCCAAGGCATGCAGAGGGGGCAGATCCGGTGCTGCTCCTGGCTGAGGCATCACTGGGCTGTGACAGCGACTTGGCCAGGGATGGTGTCTCCGTTGCCACTGGGGGTTTATTCATTGTCCCCACCCAAACGACCCCTGCAGGGTTCTGTGATGAGCAGCAAAGTTGCTGTCCCGGTTTTGACCCATAAAGTACGAAGGGAAGGTCCTGCCTGGGGTGGAGCGTAGCAAGAGGTGGCCAGAGAATAAAAATACTCTCATTGCCTGTGAACTGGGGGTGCCAGAGGTCGTGGGAGCGTGGCTGTATCCTGACAGCCCCAGCTCTCTCCCTGCCTTGTAGCAGCAAAGGGAGTCCTGGAAAACCATCTGGGAAATAAACGAGGTTCAGGTGCCCAGAGGAGCGGAGCCCGGCTGAGCCCCTGGAGCGCCAGCGGGTGACGGCAGAGGAAGGAGCTGCCGTAGCCGGTGGTGACTTTTGGGTGACGGGAGGGTTTCCATCCGGATGGAGTGGCGCTGGGGACAGCAGCAGCACAGGCGCCTTGGGTTTTGGGTGCCGGGTGTGCAGGCTGGGGAGGAGAGGCGATAACAGCTCGTGTCCCGGGGAAGGCGAGGGAAGCGGCTGCGCTGGGATGAGCTGATAACAGGCACATGGGAGCGGGGGTGGGTGCCAGCTTCCCTCCTCCCTCCTTCTCCCCTTGCTGCCCTTTTTCACCTGCGGTGAGACTGGGCCACTGAGGGGCAGCCGCTAGCAGAGACCACAAGCAGCGTTGGTCGCTTGTGGGCTGGAGTCTCCTCCGCCTACAGCACTGCCGACGGTGAATTTAATCAAGAAAACCGAGGTTGGCGGCTGATTTCTCTCTCTCTCTTCTGTTTTTTGTTTTTTTTTTCCTGAAGAGGAAAAAAACCAAACAACTTTGTTTGTGAGTCACTCTTGGCCGAGGGAGCAGGGCTGCGCTCTGTGCATCAGGCTGGCACATCCCACCTCGCATGGACGATGCTGCCGGGAGGCAGCGCCGGCTCTGACTCAGCCCACCCTCAGCTCAGCCCCTTTCCCGCACTGCCCATCTCGCTGCTGGTGTCTGTGCCCTGCGGGCGCTGCTGGAAGCCCGGGGACATCGGAAGCACAGCGTGGCAGAATGCACTGTGGCTTTGAAGTGGCCTCGGCTGGTCACCGAGGATCTCGGTGCAGCCTGGGGACACAACCTGCCTGTCACTCTCGGCAGAGCCACTTCCTTGGCCGTGGGGTTGTTCTCACACCAGCGTGCCTGGCACTTTCTGACAAGCTGCCATCAGTGCCAGCCCTGGCTGGGGAGCCCCATCTTGGTATCCCTCGTGCTTGCAGCTGCTGCCAGATCCAGCCCTCCTGGGAGATGGGGGCTGACCTGGCTCAGCCCTGGTGGGATCCACTGTGCCCCTCCATGCTGGCCCTGTGATGGAGCAGCAAGGAGAGTGTCTGGGCCGGGCTGGGGCTTTCCCAAAAAAGGCCTGAACTCTTCGGTTGGGTTTGCCACTTCCCTTACCACTCCCTTTCCTGTGAGAGGATGTGTTCGGCTGCTTTTCTTTTCTCTTTCTCTTCTTTTCTCCCCCACCTCCCTGCCCGCAGGCCCGGCGGTCCTGGCGATGCCACGCTCCCCCTGAGCCAGCCGGGGTCACCCTGGCTGGTGTGATGGCCAGGCTGCAGGTATGAACACGCCACAAGAGCTGCTCCCGTACCCCCCAGTCCTCCCAGCAGCCGCAGCACAGGGTCGGTGGGCACGTTGTGGGGCAGCACAGGTTGTGCTGGGAGTGCCCCTGCACTGAGGTGGGTGCTGATTTGTGCCCCATGCTGCAGAACTGGGGGAGGCTGCTTTGCCCAGGGTGAGCTGGGCACAGGGAGCTTCATGTGCAGGTGTATGGGATGGGACCAACATCTCAGCAAGGCCTGTTAGAAGGGGAGGTTCCCCTTTAGAAGTGGTTTTGAGGAGAGCTCATCTTGTCCGGTTGCATGGAGGGTCCCCGCTCCATTTAGCAAGAGGACAATGTGGTGCCAGACATCATGGGGACATCAGGGATGTGTGATGCCACTTGGCACAGCTCAGGGACTCCCAGACTCATGAGGGGCTTGGGGAGCTCAGGGAGGGTGGCTTTTGGGGCGTCTCTTCTCTCTGTGGGGAAATGTCCCCTTTTTGTCGTCCTTCCTCTTTCTGCAGCCTCGAGCGCACGCCCTCGCCTTCCCTGCAGCACTTCCCTATCTGCCAGCCCCATGGCAGGGCCTGGCACTGGGGCAGCTGGTGACAGCCCCACGGCACCCAGCCCCCCCCAGCATGGGGAGGTGGGGGTGGCAGGGGCATTAAGGGGTGCACAGTGCTGGGAAATCATCCCCGCAAATCCAGACCACGATGGCAGTGCCTTTCAGTGTCCACCAGAGTGTGCTGGCATTGCCTTCTGGTGCCAACAAGGATCACACCAGCATCACCTCTTAGTGCTGTCAGACAAGGTACCCGTGGTCCTTGTGCAGACCCTCAGTTCCTTTCTCCCTGCTCCCCATGGCACAGCACTCTCCTCCAGATTGGTTCTGGGTGTGTCCCACAGAACCCAGGGTGGGCAGTGACCTGATCCTGCTCCTGGCCGGGTGCTGAGCACACGCCTTGGCATGGGAAGGGGATGCCACCCCCTCCTGCTGCCTCTGCAGGGTGTGTGGGCTCAGCTCTGGCCTAGGAGCAAAGCGAAGTACCTGGATGTCCCCACAGAGCAAAGCCACACGCTGTTCCCACATCCCAGTCCCTCAGTCACCCCCAGTCCAACCATTCCATAGCCCAGGGCTGTGGCAGGGCCAGGCTGAGCTGGGAGGGAGTGGGGCTTTCCCAGTCTTCAGGCTGTCCTGCTCACCCCATTCCCACAGCCTCGACCCAAGTTCCTGTTGTTGGTGCCGCAGCCCCCGGCAGTGCTGGTGCCATGGGATGAGCAGTGGGATGTGGGTGGGCAGTGGCAAGGAGGGGGCTGGGAGTGGAAGATGCTTGGGCCAGGGGAAGCAAAGGAAAAGGAGAAAGTGGGGGGTAAGTAGACCTGAAGGCAGCGAGAGGGAGCAGAGCTGCTGCTGAACCGGGTGACAAGGTCACAGCCATCCTGCCAGTACTTGGGGCTATAAATAGAGACAATTGGGAGTGAAACAAAGTCTCTCTCCTTTTTCGTTCCTGTGGGAGCACTGGGACTGTGGGAGGGTTTGTGAGGGCCCAGGAAGGCACTGCTGGGTGATGGCTGTGCTGGGAACAGGAGGGCTCTACCCTCAGGGCTCATGGATGGCTCTGGGAACAGCTGTGTCCCCTGCTGCACCCTACACTCTTGCTCTGTCTCCTTGCTGAGTCCACAGCAAGACTCACACCCAAGACAATGAGACCTGGGGCTACTCAAGGTGGGGATGCTGAGGTTGAGATCTCCAGGGGCTCTCCCTGCCCTGCTGCCTCTGCTCCCATTCCTTCCTTCTGGCAGGAGAAGGACAGTGGTTGCTGAGCCCAGCACCCAGCATCTCTCCTACCCAGGAGCATCCCTGCTCCAGGCTGAGCCAGTGGTACAGGCAGGGACAGGCAGGTGGCATGGGACAAGGTTTGGTTTAGCACCAGGAGCTGTGAAAACTCAGCAGCATCACCCTGTTTCCTTCCACTCACATGATGCCGTGGAGCAGCTCCGACTTCCCCATCCTGTGTCTGAAGACACCAGGGATTTCAGCCACTCTTCCTCACGGCACAGGGCAGGCCAGGGGTGTGCAGGGCCAGCACTGAGCCCCTCACCCTGCCAAGCCCCTCACTGCAGGCAGTGAGCCCCACGGCATCCCTAAAGTGTGGGATGTGATCCCAGGCAAAGCAGGGGGCTGGCAGAGCATGTCCCAATTTCCTCCTCTACTTTCCTTCTCACTTCCTTTTCTTGCACCTTCTGCCTGCTGCCCTACCCTCGCTTGCCACCTGCCCAGGGCTTTCCCCTGCACTCAGCAGCCCCCGGAGCCGCTCGAGGCCGGGGGTTCTGTGCAGTAACCTGGTGCCACTCCTCTCCCTCTCCCCAGGCTCCATCCAGGAGGCGGCAGGGACATTAGCCGGGGGGTCTCACAGCTCACCCGCGGGCTGGGAGGAGCTGAGAGCTGCAGAACAGCCCCTGAAGCACGACCCAACCCCGCCCGCCGTGTATGAGGCTGGGACGCAGGTGAGGCGTGACCGGCTGGGGGCCAGGGTGGCAAGCAGGAGCCAAAACTAAATCACAGCAAGTCACTGCACGGGGGGGTTCTCCTTTATCTCTGTGTGTTCGCACAAGGTGGGGGATGATCATTGGCAGCTCCCTGACCCTCTCCACCCTCCTGCCTTTCAGTACGCAGGACCCGCGTCCACAGAGTCACTCCTTCCGATGTCCCGGCATGAGACTTCTCCGACAACGGTGCAACCCGCCAGCAACCACCGCCCCAACGCCTGCTGCTTCTGCTGGTGCTGCTGCTGCAGCTGCTCGTGGTATGTCCCACTGCCCACCTGGCCCTGGCTGCTGCAGGGACAGTGAGCATCACCCATCCACCTCATCATCCCATAGGCAGGGCCGGCATAGAATCTTGGGTGCACCACGACTCCTGTTCATGAGCAAAATCTCTTAGAATACATAGAGCAGAAAGCAGCAGTGGGACTCCCCAGTGCTGCCCTGATGGTCTCCAGGAAAGGATGGTCCTGGTCCATACGAGCCCTCTGGGAAGCTCTGCCTTGGAGCAGCGGGCACAGAGTCCAGCCCTGCCCTCCCAGCACTGCCCAAAGCCAAGGATGGAACCAGCTGCTTGCCTCCATCTGTGTCTCCTGTCCTTACTGAGCATCTCCAGCTCCTTATTCTCTGGATAGCCCAGATTTTGGAAAGCCCATCTGCTCTTCCTCCTTAGCATCTGTTCATTCAGAGATTGCTGATGGCTCTGGCTTTGCAGCAGCTTTGGTCTTTCCAGCCACCAAGAGCAGCAAGCTTGGAGGAGCAAAAAACCCTGGAGCTGAGCCCTGTGCATCTCCCTCCTAGACAACTGCCCTAGGCTTGGTGGCATTCCCTGTGTCTCTCCTTCACCTCTGCAAGAGCCTGCGAGCAGAGATGGAGCAGAAATCCCAGAGATGGGACAGATACCCCTCCTGTATCCTGTTCCTGGAGCAAGCGGTGCTGGTTGCTGAGTGGGGCTCAGGCACGGCAGGCAGTGAGCCCTGGGGGTGGCACAGGCAGGGACGTGGCCACAGCTTCGCCCACCCAGCTGCCCACGCTGGGGCAGAGGTTTGCACAGCCAGTGCTGTGCGAGTGCTGAGGGACAGTGTCGCAAGCAGGAAGGGCTGTGGTCAGTGCTGGGCACTGAAATTCAAGGGCCCAGGGGAAGTTGGCTGATGGCTGCTCTCCACTTGTGCCACCAGCGCCCCCAGGGACAAGGGGACACAGGGATAGGGAACACCGCATCCCCGGGCCCCAACACCTCTATCCCACTCTCTGCCTCCGGGCCGGACTGGTGCTGGCACATCACCAGCAAACGCTGTTTATTTATTGGTGATTATCCGTGACACAACAGTTTACAATTGTTGTGAACACAACAGCTCTGCCTTGGGCCGATCCAGCACTGACCTCTGCCGGCTGCTGTGGCCACTCCAGCACAGCTCAGTCCTGGCACACATCCCTGGCACATGGCCCTGGCACACAGCCTGAGTGGTGGAGCAGGACCAGGGCCACAGCAGTGCCTGAGCACAGGGACATCACAGGGACACCCTCACATGGTGACAGCAAAACTGCATGAGGGAACCAGGATGCCACCGGGGCAGTGGGTGAGAGGAAGGTGTGGGTGGGGGGTGCTGTGCCCATGGAGGTCAGGGGTCAAGGTGGGGTGTGCATGTGTCCCCAATGCCCCTGACTACCTTTCTGTCTCCCCGTTAGGAACGAGGACCGAGAGCGAGCATGGAGGGCATCCCGGGAGACCAAACTGGAGAATATCCCAAACTGTGAAGCGTGGTGAGTGCAGGGGCAGTGCAGTGGGAGGGGTGACAAGCACAGCGTGGCACTGTCCCCTCTGCCACCCTCCATGGTAGCCAGGACCTTGGGGTACACAGCAGGCAGAAGGTCAGGACACCAGGACTCAGGGGTTCCTGGTGATGTGTCCAGCAGCTTATCCTCAGTTCTCACCAAGAAACAGGGAGCCTGGAGCCACAGGCTGAATCCTACTGTGGTTCTGCCCTTGGCCCCATTGCAAAGGGAAACTGAGGCACGGAAGAACCTCAGCAGATTTTGGACCTCGTTCTCCCATTTAGACTCAGTACCAAGAGCTTCTTGCAGTCACGGGGAGAGGAGGGGAGAGGCCATTCCCATTCCATTTCCCACTGAAATGGAAGCAGCAGCAGTGTCCATGTCCACTCAGGGAGGAGTGGGTTGGGCCAGCACACCACTCCAGGAATGCTCGGCACCAAGCAGCCGTTCCCTGAGTGACAAGTGTGACACCCAGCCACGGGGGCTCTGTGCAGTGCCTGGCACAGCTGGGTTAGGGTTAGATGTGCTAATTAGCCATGGATAATGAGTGTACCTGGCCTGCTTGAACAAGTGCTGAGCATTTGCTGGGAAACAGCCTCCCTCCCTTCCTCTCCCCCCTTCTCTCCCTCCCCAGCTGAGAGGGTGATGGACTCATGTCAGTCTCTCTTGGCTCAGAGTTGCCTCACCACCAAAGGGCTTTTCCTTCTGTTAGGATTTATGCAGAGCCAGCACCAAAATACATTCCAATTTGGGAAATCCAGCCCAAAGCAAGGCCATGCTCCAGCGTGGCTGAGCAGAGCCAGGACAGACCCCACAAGTGACCTCTGAAAGTACCACCAGCCCCTGAGCAGGAACAGCCACGTCAGGAGCACGGGGGATGTGGTTAGGCACAGTTCCTCTGGGACGGGACCAGGGATGAGCAGGAGGGACACAGTGGGATTCCTGACCGCCTGTAACACCATCCCCTTGCCTTCCCATGGACCTGTCAGTGCCAAACCCACGCCAGAGGAGGTGCAGGGCTGGGCACAGTCCTTTGACAAGCTGATGAAGAGCCCGGCAGGGCGCAATGTCTTCCGGGAGTTTTTGCGGACTGAGTACAGCGAGGAGAACATGCTCTTCTGGCTGGCATGTGAGGAGCTCAAAACCGAGTGCAACAAGCACACCATCGACGAGAAGGCCAGGATGATCTATGAGGATTACATCTCCATCCTCTCTCCCAAGGAGGTAGGAGGCAGAGCCTTTGAGGGGAGGGCTCAGGTTAAAATGGGGCTGGGGAGGGCTCTTAGGGAGAGGGCTCAATTACAGCTGCCGCCAGAGCCCTGTGACACTTTGGGGATGAGTTTGGCAGGGTAACGGCGGTGGGAAGGGGATATTCAGCCCCCCAGAACCCCCGGGACGCTGCTGGCAGTGGGACCGCGGGCCAGGTTGTGCTGCAGGGCCGAGACCTCACGAGGGCACCAGCGGGCCGAGGAAATGCTGCATCTCGTACTGCAGCATCCCCGGAGTGGGGGTACCCAGGGCGGGACCACCCCACCCACCTCCCTGTGCCCAGCCGGGGAACACAGAGGGGACCCAGAGAGATCCCCACTCCCCCCTGCAACCCTCCCCAACCATCAGGGCTCCAGTGCCAGTATCTTCTGGGACGGAGCACCCTACACCTGGTGCTGCATTGTCACCCAATTTCTCGTGAGAGGAGGTGCAGGGATGGGCCGGGGGCTTGTCCTTGGGTGTCCCCGAGCCCCCACGTTCTCTCCGTGCCTCCCAGGTGAGCCTGGACTCGCGGGTGCGGGAGGTCATCAACCGGAAGATGCAGGAGCCGTCCTCACACACCTTTGACGACGCACAGCTCCAGATCTACACGCTGATGCACAGAGACTCCTACCCCCGCTTCCTGAACTCTGCCATTTACAAATCGCTGCTCCAGACCGTCTCCCACTCCTCCTCGGAGTCCTAAGGGCACCCACTAGCCGTGGGGACACAAGTGGGGACATGGTGGCCAGGGGCAGTCGGTGCCTCTCCCCTCTGCCACCCTCCTTGCCAGACCTCACCAAGTTTTTAGCTTTTTACCTATGAACTGTCACCCCGGTGTCTGGGTCACACTCCAGGACTGTCCCCAGGACACAGCCTGGGCCAGCTCATACTACTGATTGTCTGCCCCGTCCCCAGCGCTGGCCAGAGCGAGCTGGGACAGTGCCTGGGGCCTGGCTCCCCCCACACCCTGTTTGGAAGAGGTCACTTTATCCCATCTCCACCACACCTGGGGACACGGCTCGTCCCCATTTGCCACCTGAGACCCAGTTGGGGACTGGGTTGGGGGTTTTTTGAGGTGGGGGGGAGGTTGACTGTCGTTGGTTTGGGTTTGTTTTTGTTTTTTTTAATTTTAAATGCTCTTTTGGTTGGCTTTTACTGGGGGAACTTGAGGTGTGGGAGGGGGGGTTGATGAGCATCTCTGTACATATAAAAACTTGTCAGGTTTACCTCGCTCCAGCTGTTTGAGGTGGCCCAAAGGGCAGGGGGGTGGTGCTAGAGCCTGTTTGCATTCCCAGTGCATCCACATGGAGCAGAGGGCAGAGCTCTGAGGCACCAGAAGGGACCCTGGGGATGTGCTCAGGGGTGGGCAGGGAGTGTCCTACAGCTGCCTCCCCTGCCAGTCCCCACGACACATCAGCACTGCTTCAGCCCCAGGACACCACACGCCATCACCCCAAACCCAAAGCATCCTCCATCCCTGGTTCATGGGTCTCAGAGATGGGGAAAACACCTGTGCAGGTGTTGTTTGCCCCCCTGCAGAACCCACAGGCACCAGGACACCTGCATGAGAGAGCTCCCAGCTGGCCCAGACCTGCCCTGCCAGCAGGGAGAAGCCCAGGGGTCTGCCCTGGTCCCACACTGAGCAGGGATCTGGGCTCCACACGGGAGGGGAAGTGTCACAGGGAGGATACAGAAATCCCATGTTTTTGCACAGCACAAGGAATGATTTACTGAAGGCTCAGTATCCAGGATTAAAACATGTTTGTCCCTGTCCTTCACACTGAAACAAAGCCAACACAGGGGTTTTGCTGCCAGTCTTTGCTTTTCCTGATCCACAACAGCAGTTTCTTATTTATCCACCCCTTTCCCTCCTTTCTTCAGCCCTTCCAAAAGAAAAAAGTGCTTTTTATTGAACATATTTTTTAAACAAACCAATTCTTTCAGCTTTTTTTGTTTTTGTTTCCTTCCTTCCTCATGGCATGACTGTGTGGAAATTCATGTCAGTAAATTTAGTTTTCTTTGCCAAGATGGAAATACAGTTCAAGAAAATGTATTTTTGAGAGAGACCAGCAATGGTTTATTAGGAATGTCGGTATTGTTATTACTGGCAGGTTTTCCCCCAGTCTGCACCCTTACAGCATCTCCACCCTGCACAGGGGAAGTTTTAGCTCTGGGTTGATTCTGTGAGTAAGGGAAATACTCTCAAATGTGGCCCCTGCCTGAGGGTTGGAGGTTGAGAATCCCTGAAGCATGTTCAAGAGTCCCTCCACACACCACAGAGGTCTCTGCACAGGGAAGACCCCACTGCCACAAGATAATCTAGTTTTTCTCTTGCTCCCAATCCCTTTTAAATACCTTCTGAAACACCTCTTTATCCAGTGTGCTTCCCCTCCCTGGCTCTCCTTGGTGTTAACCCAGAAAATGGCACTGTAAAATGACATGGTACTTGTCCCAAACTCCTGCTTGGGACTCTGGGTACCTAATTCAGGGTTGTCAGAAGGCTGTACACAAGCTCAGCTCTGCTCCTCACAGGAACACAAGAAGAAAGGCAAGAGGCACTGGTAAAGAGCTGGCTCCCTTTCCCAGCACACGAGCCAGTGCTGTGGTCAGCGTGGGTTTCAGATCCTGAAGCTTTTTTTTCGGCATCACTGCGAGGACACTGCTCCCTCCCAAGCCTGGCTTGAATAATCCCATTCACCACAAGACTCGTGAGGCTTAAAGGAGTTGTCAGCGTCTTTGAATATTTTCCTTCTTGGGAGACTTGGCTGCACCCTGTAAAGTGAAAGCCCTGAGCAAAGGATGCTGGTGGGATCCCTGCCTCCGGAGCAGCACAGCCCTCAAAGGGGCTGGGAGCACGTTTTCCGCTGCTTTCATGTGGCTGCTCGCTCCTCTCCAAACATCTCCGAGGCCTCTGCTCAATGTCTGCTGTCTGGCATGCTGGGAAGCCAGTGGAAATACTTGTTTTTCACTCTGGAAGAGGGAAGCGATGCCATGAGAGATGTGATTGCAAATGCTCCTGCCCATCAGCACAAGAGCTGGAGGGCACAGCACTGCTCCCAGGCAGCCTCAGACCCACAGACCTTGCTGGGGTCCCCCAAAATGCTGCATCACCCCAGTTAAAGGCTATGAAAAGGAAAGAAAAGGGATTTTAAGTCTGGCTGAAAGCTGTTGTGAGCTCAGATGGAATTTCCCCACCAGGTTTTAATTAGTTCCCAGAAGGAGCCTGAGTCTGCAGGTCTCCTCCAGAGAGTCACATCTGGAGATGTGGCACCTGGGGCTGGCTTTGCTACAGGATCCTTTCCTTATCTGACCCCTTCCAAGCACCAGTTCTGAGCTCACTTCAAACCTCCTCCACTACAGCTAACAGCTCCCACCCATCCCTCTAGCCCTTACCTTGTCCAGATCCAAGCCTCTGGAAAATTTCCTGTATTTGCAGCATTTTCCCTCCTCCTGAGCCTCTCCAGCAAGCCCCTCTGAAACTCCAGGGTGTTTTTCATCTGTCAAGCTACAAGCAGAGCACAAACAGGAAAGTGCCTGGGACTCCCTTTGAACAGTTTGAGGTGGAATTTTCTGCTTTCAGTCTCTTACAACCTAGGCAGTACATTCTTATCTTCACAGCATCCAGTGCTATTGGCATTTAACAGCTCAAGATGCCAAGGAATCAGTGCAAAATCCAGTGAAGGCTGCCAAGACGAAAAGCAACATCTGATCTCTGCTCCAAAAGCTGTGTCCTGTCAACAGTTCTGCCCACCCAGCTGCCCCAGGCCTTGGCCCAGTGGTTGAGATTCCATGAGGTGACAGAAACAAGCCTTCACACAGAGGGTGTGCCTGCAAGTCACATCTCACTTTCTGCTGCTCCAGGCATTATTCAGTCCTCATCCACCTGGACATGGACCACTTGTCAAGTTCCCATGCTGGAAAAACAAAGTGCTGCACACACAGTTGAAATAAAAGTCAGAAACTGACAAAAATGTTTAATATTAGTTTTAAAGAGAAAGTGACCGTACTCGCTTAGATGAGAAAGTAATGACTGGGTGTGTTTAGTGAGCTCTCCTGCCAACCTGTCAGCCCAGGGCTGTGGCTCTCTGTGAGGCCCAGGCCTCCCCGCTGCTGCACTCAGCGTGTGACAATGCAAACTCACTGGGACACAAAACACAACTGCCGTGGGAGCCGGCGTGTGGAGGCTGCGCTCAGGTCTGCGTTTGGCTGCCGCTCTCGGGCCATGGCACGTGTCAGCAGAACTGCAAGAGAAGGGAGTTTAAACCCCAGTTAGAAACTTCACTGCCAAGGGGAGCTGCAGAAGAAGGTAAGGATCCAGGTGTGGGCTTGTTTCAAAAGCTGGCAAGGGCTTGGGGGTTCTCACAAGTAGGGGCCAAAGGGAGCTCCCATGTGAGTCTCTCCCTGTGGCTCTGGCACTTTGTAGTGGCACCATTTCTGCTCACCACAGACCAGGAGGTTTCTGCTCACCCCTGAGCTCTGTGCACAGCATGAAAGAGCAGTTTTGAAATCCTGAACATCATCACCACACCCCTCAGAGGGCAGAGACAGCATGTAAAGCACTGTAAAGCTGGTTATGGAGGAAGGGATATGAGGAGAAAGCAGAGAATGTGGGAATGTGGAAATGAGACTTGATCCCAGCTGATCTGCAGGGATGAACCCAAAAGCTCTTGCCTTTGTGCTCGGGGGGAAGATCACTCTCTAGAGCCAGTGAGGGTTTGGCAAACACCAAGGGCCAAGGGCCTGCAGCATGGTGGGTGCAGCCACCCCAAGACCCCTCAGTGCCAGCAATAGCCCTGGTGCGCTACCTTCCAGCGATTCCCACACTCATTGCACACGACGAAGGTGGTCATGGGCTCGTCAGAACTGCGGGTCTGCACCTGGGGGGGACAGAAGGGAGGTGAGAGCTGAGCATCACACGTGGCCCTGTCCCTCCAGCCTCCAGAGATTCGTGCTGGGCTCACAAAAATCAATGAGAGACCAAGGTTTGGGATGGCAAAAGGAGCTTTCCAGTAAAGTAAGTCTGGTGGTTGTGCTACACACAGATATACACATGTAAACACATCATGACCCCCTTCAGCCTGACATTACCTGAGTGACAAGTTTTGGGAGAGCATATTTCCCTCCTCACCCAATCTGCTGCCTGTTTCTTGCAGGTGGCTCTGGAAGTGGACATGCCCACAGCCAATCCCTCCCCAAACTGTCCCCCAGGAAGGGATGTGGCCAGCACTGCCATGACAAACCCCTTAGTCCCAAGCACAAGAACATAAAAAAACCACTCAAGCCATTCCCATTTACAGAGCAGACCTACATCCTGGCCTCACAGGAACACGCTCTGGGTTACCAGGTTCTGCACAGTTCCAGTCTGGTTTGTGTTTGAGCCATTAAGGAACTCTGATATTTAACCCAGATGTGATTGCTGCCTCTGACTGGCTCTTGCCAGAAACACATACTTTACTAAAAACCAGATTTTCGTGGCATTTGAATACCACAAGGCAGATCTGGACTGAAAACACTGGTACTCCCCACAATAGTCAGGCAGAACTGTGCCAAGGGGTGATTATGGTGATCCATGTGTGTAATTATCCAATGTGCAACAGTCACAGTATTTACATGATGCAAATTAACCATTTTTGCAAGAATGCTGGATAGCTAAATTTCTGTAATTCTCGCCCTTTACTGTCTGCTTTCAACATGCTCATAAATGCCAGTTCATCTACTTGAGACTTACATCTCATCACCCACTAGTGATTTCACTAGAAAACAAATCAAAACACAGAAAACCTCCTGATATTTCTATTTAGAAGACACTGCTGTCTCCTGCTCAAATCCCAGGCAGTCAAACTCCAGTCCACTACAGGTGGAGACAGTGCCATGTGCTGGGACAGCCCAGGAATGCTTAGTGGGAGCATAGCAGAGCGTGGCCTCTTGCCTGAGCCAGCCTGTGGGATGCAAGGCTGCTGCTGAGCCAAAGGAAACTCCCTAGTCAGATTCCTGGATCTCCTTCTCTTTCCATGTGTTTGTATGTCAAGCCCAAGCAGATGCAGGAGTCTCAGCCGGCGCTTGCACACGCAGTTTGTGCGCAGTCACTCAGCAGCAATCTGGTG